AACAACCTCAATATCGGCAGACTGTTGGAACGTTTTATCTTCGGCGGGTTTTTGCGGCGCGAAACTTTCTTTTTTTGCCGAGCTTGGCAGAAGAGTTCGTGTATATCCGAGAGATACAGTTCAAGAGGAAGTAAATTTTGCATCCGCCAGACTTGACTGCCAAAATCTGCGACCACCAGCAACTTTTCCTAGAAAAAGTAAAGCAAAAAGCTGAGAAAAAAAATGCTGCAACTAGATTTTTAGCAAATAAAACACTGATCGATATTGTTGTTTTTTATAATATTTTTAATTTTTTTATTCAATTAATTTTATTTTCTTTTGGCTTGTCACTTCAATAAAATTTATCACTCCGAAGATGCACCGTCGAGTCTATGGATATTTTAACTCTAGTTTAAAAAAAAATTAGATTCAACATTCCCAGGTCAATTTTTATTTAATTATTTATTTACATCTTAAATCATATCAAACCTAAAATGGGTAAAAAAATTCAAAGCAAATGTATCTTCCATTAAATAAATTATCGTCCTTTGCATAGAACAAAAATGTTTTAGCTGGCTGAACGTTTTTGGGGCACTGTAACTTTTTGTTGCCAGACTTTCGTCATGGGGGTCTCACAAACAGTCTGTCGGACCCTCAAGGTCTAAGCAAGCTGACATGTAGAAATTGTGAATAGAAGAGACGCATTAGTTCCGACTAGCAGAATTCGTGTGACTACTCGTGTCTAGGTTGACGGAACAATAAGCAGGAGAACGCCTGCAGTTTCAAAGAGCGCTTTTTGCCACGCACGCAGGACATGCGGGTTGCCGAAACCATACTTTAGAATGTGCTCATTTGGATTCCCGGCACCGCCGACCGTAGCCTGTTTGCTAATTTTGAAATGTATAGCTCGGATACGGACCAAGGAAGACAAACACAAAGCAAAAGCATCGATTGCAATCACATGCAAGAATTATATTTTGAAAGAGAACAAGTCTGCTGCGATAACCTTAAGTTCAAGTTAAGTAATTTTTAAATTATGTTATTATTTGTATAATTCTTTTTAAGATCAATTTTTATTTTTAACGAGAAATTTTTCAAATTTATCTTCAGAACAAAATTATGTAACAATAAATTTTAAAATTTTGTGAAGTAGCCTTTTACTAATTTTTGAAATTTCTCTGCACATTCTCATTACTTAAAATCGTCCTACCACAAATTCATGTCAATTTATGAAACTTTTACTCTATATTTTTTACCTTTTGTATAAATTTTCACAGTATTGGGGAATTTTTTCCACAATTTGCAATAATGTCTAGATTTTGAATTTTTAGAAAGTGGAATGGAATTTTTTAATTGTTTTAAAATTTAAATGTGGTACGTCTTTTATTATTTGGGCCGTGCTAGAAATTAAAATTTTGAAAAAAAAAATGTAATTATAATAATTTTATTATTCCTGACAAAAACTGTTTTATTAAATTTCTCCTATTGGATCTTAAGTTATATTTTACTTTTCACTGCCTTTAAGCCTTAAATAGGATTAAAACTAAACAAAATATATCCGCTTTCCAGACGTTCAATAATCCATTTTTTCCCCTCTTAAAAACCTATATCTTTGCATAACCTTGACCCTTGTAATCCGTCACATTTGCTTGCAAACGCATTCAACCGCGAGTAAGATTTATTCAGAGGAAGTGAACCACTTATGCGAGGGTCAAGTATTCAGCGAAACAAATCACCCGCGTCAGAGCAAAACCAGCCAGCACTGCATTCGCGTCCGACCACACATTGGTCAAAATGATTGATCCGCCGCTCCGCCAGACGTAAATGGAGCTGCTCTGTTTGAATTCCTCGGAAACCTTTCTCCGAAATTCGACGTGTTGTTGAATTACGCGGCGCAACTGAAAGGACTGTAATGGAAACATCTCTTTGGTGCGAGTGTAACATCCCCAGAGCTGCGCCGCAGCCATAAATATAATCTCACTTTGCGCCTCTCTCTCTCGTGTGTGCGAGCCTAAAATAATACGGCCGCCTGCAAAGTGCAAACAAACCTGATGCTTTTTGCCACACAACATGCGCGCACGTCGCTAATGCATAATATCAAGCAAGCCCGTCGAGTGCCGCCGGTTATCCGTGGTGTAACATTTCGCTGTTCTCGGCGGCCGCTCCCCCCTCGTGGGAATTCTGACCTGCACGCATTAATTTCGCACACCCGAAATATGCAGCTAACGCGCGAAGTTTGGTGCTTCCAAACTCCGGCTCAGTCAATGACGGTGGCGAGGGTGAAAGTTAAACTTGGGGGGGTGCAAGCCAGCTAGGTATGTTCCAGCATTTGTAGAAACCAAGCCGAAAGTTTTTCCTAAAAATTTTTCCCATATTTACAAATTACGGAAATTTCTTATTTGTAGGCCCGTGCATTTTAGTCGGTTTTTAGGAACCAAAAAGTATTTTGACTTCTATACTTTGTGTTTGATTTTACAGAAATTTAGTCGCCTTTTCAGGTGGTTTTTGCGAGAATATTCGGTTTTATTTGCTTTTTTTTAATTTGGATTTTACGAGAGCAGCCATAAAATTCATGAAAATATTATTTTAACAGATTTTTTTTTTTTATTTTTTTTAATAGATATTTTGTTGAAAAATTCTATATTTATAATGTTCAAAAAAAGCTCAAAAACATATTTTGCCGTTATTGAAAAATTATGAATTTTTCAACCATCTGATTCCTCATTTAAAAAAGGTGAAAACATAGGTTTTTTTAGTGTCTACTTATTTCTATGTAATTTATGTTATGTGACTAAAATAAAAGAAAATATCACCTCCCCTCTTATTATGAACCATAAACTTATGCACATTTCATGCACTCCCTTAAGCGCGGTTCTCTTTATGGCTCAATTTTCATATATTATCTTCGGTCAATATGTATCTATTCTTATAAATTTTACAGTATATTTAGATCATCAACAGTTAAAAAAACCATTTTGACTTTTAATTTGGGAGCGGAATGTGATGTGGTAAATTGTATATATTATTGTATATTATATTATTTATTATCTTATTACATTAAAATTTTTATTTAAAGAAGCCGTTTAAAATTATTACTTAAATTTCTTAAATTATATTGAACCTATTAAACAAAATTATGAGATTATTCTCTGAAAATGCAATTTTGTTTTACGTCGCTTTATTTAGGCACAACGCTCAAAATTTTGTTACAAAATAATACTTAAAATCGTTTTTCTATGATAAATATTTGCTTATTTATCAATTTAAATGTTTTATTTAAATATCAAATAAATAAGAAAATCTATTTTGTGATCAAGGGACTAAAAAATTATTACCTGCCCATCCCTACTATTTGCATATTTAAATATGTCTGCATTTTGTTTCCAAAAATAACTTTTGTTAAGTAAGTAACAGTTATAAAAACAAAATTGAGAAAGTTTTCTTTAGTGCAATTGAAATCTTTGCTTTTTCTGTGTTTGCAGATAAAGAGGTGTTGCATTGAAAAATTTCATAAGTCTCTCTGCTGCGACTGAATACAATTTGCGGATTGGGAAAAAAACGCGCAGAGCCAATACTTGTTTGGCAGTAAATACCGCTGTGATATGATGATGCAAAAGCGGCTGAATGAAAATCGATATGCGCAAAAAGTTGGAGAGCTCTGCTCTCAGTCTTTTCAATACACAAATCGCACCCGTTCGCTGCGTCTGTCTCTCCTCCTTCGGCATTAAAGTTATCTTTTTGCTCGAGTGGCGGAACCCATTTTATTATTACCAACAATCAAAAGAGGTGGCGAGGAATAAGAAAGAAAGAAAGTAAGTTTCTCCCTGGGAAAGACCTTTGTGAGGAATGGGTTTGTTTTGTGCAGTCGAACGAGAAAGTCCAATAAATTTGGTCAGCCGAGCGAATTCGGAAAGCTCTCGCAGGGCTGATTTCAAGATTTTGCGATTCACGCACCAAAGTTTCCATCGCGTTGTAAAAAACTTGGTGTTTTTCCTGTTTGCCGCGCAGATGGAAATCCCTGGCTGCGTGTTTGTCCTCTCCGGAAGGAAAAGCAGCTCCATCTTATTCCGCAACCTTGGCGTGCAAGCGGGTTTTATTATTTGAAGAGAAAAGAAAGAGTGTCAAAAGGCGTACGAAGAATGTGGAAATTGCATTTCACAGACGAGCAATTCCTGCAAGATGAATTACAGACATGACTCATGAAATTCAGCTCTTGCGCTCGCGCTTTGTACATTTACAATGTTCTCGTCTCGGCATCTGGAGAATATGGGGAAACTTTGAATGTGTGAAGAAGCAAGTTTCTTCATTCGAAAATGCCTCCAACTTGCAATTAATCCTAAGGGTATTCATGACAGCTCCACATGCAAATAGATCTAGTTCAACCTAAAAAAGTTGGAGTTTGAAAGAGTTATGAAATTGTGTAGTGAGCGTCGCATGAAGTTTTAGTTTAAAATAAAAGTTTTATTAATGCCAGACATGCCAGTATTTGAGTTTAAATTCAACTTTTCCTCAATGGGTATTGTGAGATGTTTATTGTTTAAGAAAAAATCCTTCTCCACATGTTTCGGCCATAATTCGTGAGCTGTGAAATCATTTTGACAAGAATTAGAACAAAAATCAATCTTTTTTCTTCCAAAGTAACAATTTTCCGAGAAAAATTTAAAGTGATATTTTGTCACAAAATAATTTTGAACACGAAATTTGACATCAGACAAATTAATTTTTATAATAATTTTGGTCAGACTTGCAAAAACCATCGCGGAAAAGCCGACTTTGAATTCAAATCACCATGAATCAACCCTCGATCGTGAAATTCTATTGCAAAATATATAATTAATATTGCAATTTCCGATTTTGCGATCATTTGATTATTTTACATTTTCACCCAAAAACATTAACTTACAAAGTGCCAAAGATTACAAAAGTAAAAATGAATTATGCATTAGTTAAATCGAATTTAATTGAAAATTAACTCCCCTCTCCTTTTCTTTTATTGATTGGATTGAATTTTGTGATTTCAGGTGGCTGCAGGTGGCTGATAAAATGCGGCCAACTTTGGCTCAAGAAGCGTACAGTCTGTTTTCACTCAGGGTTGGCCTTTTGCTCGCATTGCTGGACAGTACGAGCTGCGTGTCCACGTCGTCGTCCTTCGCCGATTCCACCATTCCGCCTGCACAGAGCAACCAGACGGACTCGGCAGGTCCGTACCTGGCGCACCAGCACCAAGAGAAGGAGCCCGAATGTGAGTTTATTGATTTCGGCGGCGTGAGCGATATTTCATTCATGGCGCAGAAACAAACTTGCTTATTTTCCAGCCTCTCCATTGCAAAAAAGAGAGAGCGCGCTCCGTCGGCTCGGAAGCAATTTTCACAGTAAATGAATGCGAATTTAGACAATAATTGTGCGCTCGGCTCACGCACGCACCATCCCTTTTTAATTGCTTCGGGCAACTCCCCAGTTGTGTTATTTATTTGCAAACGCATACCAAGTTTTCAATTTGGGAAATTAATTTGCTTGGTTAATAATAATAAAATTTGAACGGCAACTCGACTCAATCTGATTGTAAAGCTTCAAATTAACATGGCTAACATAGAGCTGGTTAAATAATTTTTTTTAATAAAAAAATAAAATTTATAGGTCTTCTTGAAAAATAATTGTATGATTATTTATTTAATTTACTTATTTAATTATTATTACAATTATTTAATAACTTTTTATTTATTTTATTTTTTCAATTACTAAGCAGTTATCGACGTTTCTATATTGAATTAATCAAAGTGCAATAATAATGTGAAAAATGCTTAGTGTGTTTCAAAGTAAATACATATAATTTTATCACGCTATAATGAAATCAATTTAATTACACCTTGCTTTTCAAAGCAATAAAAATAGTCCTTGGATCGAATAGGATTTGGTGAAGGTGTCAATTTTCATTCTAATGTTTCTTTAAATTTGATCAGTTTAAAAAACCTTGTTACTAATTATTGATCAAACTTGCTGATTGAAAAAATTTCCCCTTGAAATAGATGCTTTACTTCTTATTATATATGATGACTTCAAACAATGTATAGAATAATTTTTAAAGTTCACTCTTGACGCTCTCTGCTTTTTTTCCAAACATTTATTTTTATTTTTTGGAATATGACTTTATAATAAAACTCAGCATGTACAATTGTAAAAAGAGGTTAAAAATAATTTTTGACATGAATTAGAACTATTAGCTATTTATAAATAAAAATAAAACTTATTTTTCCTGTTGAGCTTTCAAAGAACGTGAAATGGATATTTTAAAATAATTTTATTTAATGCGCCAATTCATTCCAACTCTGCCGTTGGTAACGTGGTTCATTATTGTGCACATTTAATAAATTTTCCTCATTTTCATTTGCCTAAAAGTGACACTGAAACGTGAGGACGAAAAACATGACAAATGTACGCACACAACTCCGGCAAAAAATGATGAGACTGCAGCAACTGGTACACGCCGAGTTGTCCAAATGCGAGTACATTTTTAAATTTCATTTGTCAAAAAGTGACGTTGTCAGGCAAGAGAGAGAGAGAAAGAAAGACGCAGCTGCAAAACGAGGAGAAAAGTGATATTCGTCCAATCCACTTTTTACTCGGCGCTCGTTGCTGGCTGGAATTAAATTTGCCTCTCTCGTCTCGCGAGCGAAAATTTCTCGCGGGGCTTTTAAATCGCTTTTCGTGCAGCGACCTCGGAAAATACAAGTTTGGTCGACCAGAATTTTTATTTTCCATCCACAAAGACGAACACGTGCCGCACCAGGAACTACAATGCCTCGGGCTAATGATGCAGATTGGCTGCGATAAATTTGCATTCAAACCTTGCAGCCTCGGTGCGCGCCCGGCTCTAATTCATGCAGTGCAATTAGCATACTAACATGCTCTCGAAATCTGCAAACGGAATCTGAAATTGCACACACGGTGAATTTTTAATTCGAAATTGCTGCCAATCGGCGAACAAAGGATGAATTTTTAATCGGGAAATCAATCGCGCGCTTCGGATAAAATGAAACACGAGGCCTTTTTAATCATGAATGCTCGGCAAAGGGAAAAATAACGCAATAATGGGGCTTTCGTGTTGCGCGTACACAATGGGGTTAATTTGTTGTGCAACTAACTAATCGCACAAAGAGGAAACTCTCGTTTCAAAAGCTCTCCGATGTGCCGTTTGATTGCCGGCTATTGTTCCAAGGCAAAAAAAAAATAAAAATATAGATGGAGCGAGCAGAAATTGCCTGTGTGTGCGAGTCGCCGTGTTTCAAAAGAGACCATTTATTATTGTTTCTTTATTTGTGTAATTATAAAGAGTGCTTTGAAATCTGCTTTTCTGCAACAATTCCTTTTTGATTAATAAAAATTGTTTTCAACATTTAAATGTAAACAATGTGGACAAATAAACAACAACAATAATAATTCAATGAAGCGACATAAGAATTATTTTTGTTTCACAAGATCTTAGCAACATCATAATAAAGATTAAATATTATCCAATTTTTCTATTTAGAAAATATTGATTTAAATACAAATTTTTGACAACCTTGTAAGCATAAAATGCATCAGGACAACCAAAAAGTTCCAGCCAAACTTTAATAAATTGCTTCATAACATAATTTAGAGAGAGGGAAGTTTTTTTTCCACCCTCGAAAACACTTTCGAGCAAGAAGGGTTACGGACCATTAATTAAAGCAAGTCTACCGCCAAAAAATAGCATCTTCCTTCCAGTTTCCTTTTAAAAAAGCAACATGCGCATTTACCATAAAAATTCTAATTACTGTAAATTTGCTGTGCCAAACTTGGGTTGGCGCCGGAAAGTCTCAAAAGTTGGCAACCGAGTGCGCTCCACAAGTTTACCCCAGTGACCCGTTGTAGCAGAGAGAAGGCTTTGAAAGTACATGTTTGTACGTTAAGGGGCTCACCTGTGCATATTGAAAGCAGCAAGGCTCTTCTTTTGAGGGGACGAACAGACTCAAGTGCACATCTAAAGCACACACATATACGCACAGCCGAGTTTAAAACATTATGCATGAGCGCTCGATCAGAGAATGAACCCTGCCTCTGTTTTGACTAACAAAGTAATGAACAACAATTTATGCTCATCATCGTATAATCAATGTGGCCTGACATTAACTAACCCTGAAAATCAATTAAGCAGTGCGGCAACACCGATGTGGAAACTCAAAGGGATCAGATTATCACCTCTGAAAAATTCGAGCCGAAAGAAAATAGATCGAAAATTCCAACGTAGACTCTAATTGTAAAAAAAAGGAATATTAATATGGAAAAAAAATGCTTTAAATTTTTATTCTCAGCCTGAAACAATTTCATAATTTATGGAGCAGTAAAATCAAATATTTCATAATAAATTTGATTTAAAATTATTGCCAAATATTTCATTAATTGTCTGATAGAGAATTCGTCCTCAACGTTTCTTTTCCCATTGATATTCGTGCCTCGTCCTGACATGGTGTTTTTCACCTTTTCCCTCTGGGCTTTTAGGAAAACTGTTTATTTACCGTGTGGGTTGTCGCTCGCGGCGACAAAAATCTCACGTCGCGTGTATGTAGGTCAGACAAGCCGTTGTGCACCAAGTTTCGTTGTGCGCCATAAAAATTAGCGCGGTCGCATTAATCCGGGCTGACCTGCACTCGTGGATGGCTGACCCGGCGCGGCCACACACTCACGCTCGAGTGCACAAAGCACTTTTTCTCTTTCAAGTGCACACACAAGCTAATTACGACTAATGCTTCGGAGGAAAGGGTGCAGTGTGCCGTAAATTAAAGACACTCGCAAGTATTTATCTGGATGATGTGCAAAGGGATGAGAATTGCAAATTAATTATTTTTTCAAATTCAAATCACCAAAAAATGTCCCTTAAGTTGAATTACGAAGAAAACAAACTTGGTGCACCAAACTTTGAGAATAATATGTATAAACATTGCAATTGCTTAACAAAAAAACGTATCAAAGTTTTGATGCTTTGTTAGAATTAAGCCATTTAAAGCTTTCCTTAGAATAAGATATTGATCCACTGTAATTTCTGCACGTTGTGTGTATCAAGCTGTTATTTTTATGTAATTTTAATTTTTTAGCTTTTCATTGAACTAGAAAAATAGCCTAGTTCAACTATATTCCAAATTCCTAGATCCAGTAATTATCCACATCATCCTGATTTATGGCAATTAAAAATCATAAAGTATTCAATCCAATTGGAGGAGAAAAAAGCTCAAATTTTGTATCACCTCCTTGCCTTAAACCATGCGATTTTTCCCCTCTTACTTTAAAATTGTTCCTAGTTTTGAAAGTTCCACAATAAAATATTCCATAAATATAGTTGCAAATTGTGTTTTTATATTGTTTATATATTATTATCTCAAATTTACACTCTATAGTAAGCAATTAAGTTGTAATGAACATATTGGGGGATAATCACATGCTAAGTTAGCACCAGCAAATCCCATAAGAAAGTTAGCATGTTTCCTAAAAAAATTTGAATTCGCGCCCCAAATTTATTTCATGCAAATTAGCTCACTATACCGTTCAAAGGCATATATTCCAAAAAATATTTATAATTTATGAAACATTTAAATGAAATCAATATTAAATTTGCTTGTGGTGTTCAGTGGTGTTGATTTTACTGAGGGAATGGTTTTTAATATTTTAGTGGAATATTAAATTTACGAGTTATAATCGATTTTATTAAACTTAACATCGAAATTTCCTGATTCTTCAAAATGGATGTTCTTTGAAAGATAAAATATTTGCGAAATTTTTCTTGTTCCACAGTCGAGCAAGTATGATGTACAGATTAATTAATTAATTAATTCAAAAACTTATAAAATTCTGATTCCTGATCATGTGCCTCTTCTGTATGTTGCAGCTGTAACCTGCTACACGTGTGTCAATGTGTCGGACAACTTGATATGTAATCGATTTGCGATTGATCGTCCGTGTCCCTCGGGTATGTTTTGCACAAGCTTTGCCTTTCTTGCTTGCATCCCGTCTTCTCTCCCAAAAACTTTCCACTCTCATTCCAGGCCCGAGGAAAAAAAGCGAAACAAACTTTGACGCCTACTTTGCAGCGCGCGTGCAGATTAGCCCACCTAGCTTGGTTGCACCTGCGGATTATTTGCAACTTCTCTTCCGTCCTGTGTGTATAAATTTTTTTGTGATAAACGACTCGTTCGCACCGGCTGCTTTTGTATACGTTTAGTCGCTCTCGTTCCAGCAAAAATGACGCATCCGCAAACCATTTTTCAAAAGTGGGTCAAAATGCTGTTGAAAAAGGAGGATGTAATTTGAAGTAAATCAGCGGTTTGACTGATTTTTATAACCAAAATAACTCGCAGTGGAATCCAAATTGTTTTCAAATAAAAGTAAAATCTTGGAATAAATTTAAATTTTTCTCAATGAGAAAATTATATTGAGATACAAACGAAATCTTCACAGATAATGATTACTATCGATTTCTGATTTTTCTTAAAAATATAGTAATTACTTGCTAATTATTATTATTATTAATAATATTATCAACGATCACTTTTAATTTGAAATTCACCACTTTCAATTTCATCACATTTTTATTTTTTATAATGAAAAACACCCCTTCAATTATTAATTCATTGTAGATAAATAACAAACGATTTGCTGGATTTTAAAATAGATCAACCGCAAAAATTTACAAATAAATCGCTTTCACTTTTTGGAAGAAAAATCGTGGGCCACCGCTTAAAATCGCCTTTCACGTCCGCATTGCCCATAAATAACATGGATTGGGCTGGTCTCTGCGAAATAATTACTTTTCTTCCACGGTTTGCAGCGGCAGCTACTAATCCAATTTGAGCAGCTGCGGAGAACAGGTCGAATTAGTTGGCGGGGATGAAATTAGCACACCGGTCGGTGCTCGCCTCGGCCAGATTAGCCCCCGTGCGAATAAATGGTATATATCGGGGCGGCCCTCTTGAAACTTGGCCACTAGAATGCGAAGAAGAAGAAGAAGAGTTTGCTTTCGGGGGCGCTTCTTGTGCCGGTAAGTTTGTCTTCAATAGAGACGGCCAAGTTAACTTTATGATTCGGAGCCGGTGACAAGGAAGAGGCCATTTTCAACACTGGGATCAAGAAAAGGTCGGCGCCGATGTATGGCTTTGCGTGCGACCGACGCACCAACTTTCTTTGAGCCTCTGAAAGGGCCTCCTGCACTTTTAATTAGAAACTTCTTCGCGCCAAATTGCAAACAGGAAAAAAGTGAAAAGTTAAGTGGGGGCGAAGCGCTTTTGCATTCACGTCGTGCGGTTTCGCTCGGGTGCAACTAACGGCCCTCGTCGTTTAATCAGAATACGACGTGGGTCTCATTTCGACTTGGTTTGTTTGCGACGAGTGCTGAGTTTGCGTTTCGACGGCACACGCAGCTCTTCAAAGTACTCACAGAAATTGGAAGAGAAGTTGCAAATAATTCCATAATTTCACCGTCTCCACTCAATTTTATTACCGTAGCTTAAAAGGTATTGAAACGGACTAATGAAATAAGTTTTCATCATTATAGGCTGTAAAAACTGCTTAATCAAAAGTTTGTGGTTTCGTTTTCCTCTTGAGAGAGATGAGTTTTTTATAAATTAATCCATCAGCAATGACTAAAATTGCTCATTTGCTAGTATCATAACTCCAAATTTTAATTTGTATTGTTGAAACCTGTTTTTAATTTATTCACCGTCGTTTGAACCAAGTTCAATAACAAAGAAGAATTTGCCATGTAAATTATTTTTATAAGAAGTTTCTAGAAATTTATGATTAAATTAGAATACTGAATCAAATATGTCACACCATTGTTAAATTTAGAAACTGCTTTACGACAAAAAATGTAATAAATTTTTAATTTAATAGAGTTAATTTAAACTGTAATAATTTTCGTAATCCTACGATACAATTCTTCTTGGTGGCAATTTCACTGTTTTGCAATTTTATAAACAATGAATTCTTTTCTTGGAAGATGTGCAGCAGCAATTTCAGGCTAATCAATCAAATTATTTAGAATAATATTGATTGTAATTGTTAAATTTCCAGTTTCTTCGTGAAAGTGTCTTATTCTTTTTGTCTGTTCTTTCCCCCAGTAGCGTATTTTTGTGCAAAAATCAATACTTGGAATCATGCAAAATGTGCCTTGTTTTCCAGGTGAAGTGTTCTGCCATACTTTGCACATAATGGATTCCCACGGCGGCAGCGTAATAGTGCATAAAAAGTGCGCCGGCCCCAAAGAATGCTCCCCTGCAACGGTCGGTTGCCTCGATATTGACTCGCAAAGAGTAAGTTGCTCGCTCCCCATGGATTTCTACCTCGCTTCGCATCATATTTTTTTTTCTGCCATGAAAAATGACCAACCTGAGCTTTCTTTATTTTCCATAAGTTCTTTTTTTTTTCACTTCCCTTCGATGTGAATTTTTCTTTTTTTAATTTAACGAAATCAATAAGTCCATAGAAAAGTTTTAATGAAATCTGATGTCGAACGGCAGATCACTTAAATTTTGATCGCCTTCCGAGCTTGCCCCTCATAATTACACGCCTTAAAAGGTTTATCTCGGCGTGATCTCGTCCTGATTTCCCCTAAAAACTTTGCCCTCTTTCGCAACAAATTGAATTAATGAACGAATCAATAAAAGGCGTCTCGCTCGCTCCACCAGAGAGATTATTAAAATAATAATGGCACCGTCGGCAGCGGCAGTAGGTGGAATAATAAATTCCATTCATAAATTCATTGTTCGCAAAAGCGATTCCCAGCGGTGAGATAATTTCCGCTGCTGATTTATTCTCGAACGGCTTTTTATTATTATCGGAACGCGAAGCCTTCTCTCGCTCTGCCGTCCTCTTGAATTAAAAAGGCCGTTTGCAGCAGCGCTATTATCAGTTAAACATCGTGCGCAGCCCTTTTTCGCGCGAGTCGCCAGGGCCCAGATTAGGAAACCCGGCATTTGTCCTAAATATTTTGCAATTTATAATGAATACTTAAACCTAAGTAAATTTAACTGCCCTTAAAACTTAACTACATTCTACGTCGTTTACTAATTTATTTTGTTGTTACAATTCGTCCTTAATTTTTATTTAATTTTTTATTCGTTCCAAAACTATAGCATATTATTTTAATGCAGCCGTCATTAAAAAATTTCAGTCCTTTAGAAAATAGCACTATATTGATTTTGAAATAATCCAACCTCCAGCAGATGCAGTCGCATCATTTTTATTGGACCTCTCATTGATGTTCATTTTATATTACAATTTTGTCTTTTGACCGACAAAATCTGTCAAAATGATCGATTTTTAAAGAAATATTGGTTATTTATTTTTCCATCATAGAGCCTTATCATTTAAAATTTTTGTCATTTTTAACAGGAGATAATAAAATCACTCTAAGGTATTATTTCAAGAAACTGAAAATTTTCCGCCTGCCTCTGCAATCACATTAATTTGACTTATAAAAATACAATTTTAACCTAGAAACTGTTAATAATCAATTTGTTAATTCTGGTTTGATTTTTTTTTTTATCAAGAAGCCACAAATAAAAGCTCTTTATTACCATCGGGACAATTAATTTTGATATTCAATTACAATCTTTTTCGAGACCAGCGCTGGCGCCCCCAGATTACAGCAGCTGAGGCAGATAAGAAGGAAATTATACGAGCGGGGAACGTCCCTTGAATAAAAATCGGGCGGAAAGAAAGGGGCTCTTAAATAATCTGAATTCAATTTATTTTAATGGATATAAAGAAAGAAAGAAATAAAAGTGCAGTGTCGGTGGGGTGCATAGGGCCAATTGTCAGCGCGCCGGAGACTCCACTGGTGCTTAGTCTTGCTTAAACTTTGGGCAAATTTATAACGTTTCAACGCGCGGCTGCGGCGGTCTTTCGTCGCATAAATCCCTTTTTATACTCTTGTGTAGGCGGAAACGCCTGCGGCGGGCGCGGAAAACGCGCACAAACGACGACTTGCTTTCGCGTGTCTCGGCACACGCACAATTTATTTTTGTGTTTTGCATTCTTCTCGTTATTCCTCATTACTTCTGCCCCGATTCAGAACGAGACGATTCACGTACGCAAGAAAAGTTTTATGCTTTCCTACTGTAAGCTATGAAAAGTAGTGATGCAGAATGTTTTATGTTCCATTTCTTTGAATCTTTCCGAAAATTCGTCCTTTTCACATTAATATCAATTAAGTGTTTCTGGATCCAGTTCTTGAAAATTACGTTAAAGGTTGAATTCTGGAGATGTAAACGGTGCACACACAAAACTTTTTGAAATATTTAAAGGGCATGAAAAACAATTTTTCTATGTTTTAATGTTCCATAATTTACTAGCAATGAATATTAACTTTCAACAAAAATAAATCTTTACTGAAGTTTTATCTGAATCTTCAAAAAAATTTCATAAAAGTATTAAATAAAAAAATGCTAACTGTGAAAATGGACAAACAAACAAAACACTGCAATGAATAAGCTTTTTTAATTCTTAGGCTCGAATTTTAATTATCTTGTATAATTATTCATCATCTTCATTACATTATTATTATTATTTTCCTAGCAAATATGATTTAAGGAATTAAAAAAAAAATGTGAATTCAAGTTTCTTAGGGTTCTGTCATTTCCATAATAAAAATTAGTGGGAGGAATTCAAAATTTGTATAATGAAATGCAGAGAATTTAATTTATTTTAATATTAATTTTTGTTTGTTTGAAGAAATTGACACTCGAAAAGATGTTCATGGAAGTGAAGAGATCGGGCTTTTCCTCGATGCTGAAATTGTTTGTATTCAAAATAAAACGGCTCCACCAATTTTTACCAATTTTTGCAATGAGGAAAAAGCCCGATCTCTTCATTCTGCATTCACAATAATTTTTGTTTATTAAATTAAAACTTTTTATGTTTATAAATTCCTACCACTTCTATAGTTTTAATTTGGACACAACAAAACCCTGGGTTTTATAAGTACCAGCAGACCGCAGGTCACCTTTTGGGGTCATAATTGTCCTTTATTTTGTCATTTTCTTTTCTTTGCAACACGGTTTGGCCGTTTTCTTATTTCATTTTAATAATGAGAATTGAATTACATTTAATTTGAAATGATGGTTTAAGACTGTAATAAATAATTTTCGGGAAAACAAAATCAGTTATTGTTTATAAAAAAACTAACATTTTATATTGTTTAAGTGCGCACACGTCTGCGAGCGGGCACAAAAATTACATCAACTTATCCGGTCACGTTGCGCGCACAAAGCATGAATTATGTAATACGGGGGTAAAGCCCAGCAGCTGCAGCAACAGCTTTATTATCGCTCGGATTCACCCGCCCGGACGGCGAGTGCGGGCAAGAGAGACCCTTTGCGAAATCGTGTTTGGACTACGTCTATATTTTGTAGGCCAAGTGGTCTGAAACGGTGATGGTGCATCTCGCTTCGATCGACACTTGCTATTAATTAACAAAGCCGGCCGATAATTAAGTCAGGGGTGCGCGAATTTCCGTGCAGTGCGCGGATGAACCACTTGTTTGAACGCAAAAATAATTCCCAGAAATTTACTGCTTGGCTCTCTCTGGCAATTATTCGAGTGCGAGCACGGCGGCGCGAGAATGATGTTATTTGCCCTTGAATTATTTAACGGCGCCGTTTCGCGCTCGCCTCCGCGAAATTAAATCCACCTTTCTCCCTCGGCACGCACTTTTTTTTGCGTCGGCATGTTTTACTGCTGCTGGAATGCTTTTAACGCGCGTTTGCACTGCTTGATGAGCAAATTTGTAATTTCGCACAAAGAGACTACTTGGTGAGGGCGGTTGATGGAAATGAAATTATTGCGCGCCTTAATTTTGCAGCGCCAGGGTCAAACGCCGCAGCAGCAACTTCAAAGGGGAACAATTTTCTCGACAAGTCAACTGGTCCGTTAAATCTGTTGGACATTTGATTACCTCTTTTTGGTTAGATGAATTTGATCCATTTTACCTCCTCAAAGTTGTGTTATATAGTGAAATTTTAAACTTTTTAACTCTAGAACGTATTCTGTGATTTGAAACAAATTGATTTAACTTATTTCTTTAGACATCAAGCTGCTGGCATATAAGAAATTATTGAAAAATTAAAGCATATTTTAAGTGTTAAAAAAAACCACTTTAAACAATTTTCTTCCCTGAAATGGTGATGTAAATTTTCATTCGGCTTCTCTTTGATTGATTTTGTGAATTATTTATCATTGAAGTAAAAAATATAAGAATGTTCCGACTGCAGACTGCAGCTATAATTCATGAGAGCTGTGAAATTATTTTGGCAAAAAACAGTGAAAAAATCAATTCGTGTACAATTGTAGCTGCTGTAAATATAATTTTTCCATAAAAAAATTTTGAAAAGATTGATTTTTTGTTATATGAATGTTACAGGCTTGAGTCACAAACTGTGAATAAAAAGTAAAAAAATAATATATAGATAATAAATAATAATAATATTAAACTACCGAAAATAAAACAAATTAAATTTACCGATGGATTGAAAGAGGCACTCTTTTGTAAATTGCAGGGAAAATTTGGAGAAGCAACAAAATCACGTTTAAAAGGAAACGACGGAGAGGAAAAGGTGGTTGGTCCTTTTGTGCGCGACAAACTACTGCACACAATGAGCACTCGATCGACGGCGGCCAGCGTTTGCTGCAAAGAAATCAAATTTCCGGTGTTGTCAGTCGCAAATCAGAGGCAATCGTAAAAACGACCGGCCTTTCGCGATGGCAAATTCGCGTTGACCTGCTCTCTGGGTGGGTAGGGTGCGTGTCGCCAATACCGAGTGAGCGCCACTCATCAGAGCCTGAATGGACCTGAGAGTGGAAAACGCAGCCGGCAGTCCAAAGTCGCCGGCGGGGGTGGCTGCTCTGATGGTTAAGCGCGCAAAAAATAACAGCCACACTAAAAATAAGCGCTCTTATACTTGACGTGAGATGAAATTTTGAGTGCCCAAGTCAATTTAGTGCTCGGCAAATATATATATAAAAAAAAGAGAATTGGGGGATCAAATGGCGCACCAGCTTGTATTGACATTCTCGACAAGAAATTGACAAGTTTGTTAGGTAGTTTCGGTCTCTATAAACATCGATTTTTTTGCTCTCTTCAGGAGGCACGTAAAAAATGTTGCTCTCCAAGATAAGAAAAAAGCATAGAAAAGTTTGAACAATGCCATTAGCACTAACAAAGCAAGAAAACCAATTCTTTATTCACTGCAGTCCAATTTTCACATAGCATACAGTTTTTTTGGCATTTTTTTTTTCGTCAAAAGGACTAAAAAACATTCAATTTTAATATCGAAACATTGACTTTGATGATGGATATTTATTGTTTTTTTTTTTAGGCTTTCCTGTTGAAATGAAATCAGCGTTTCTTAACTTCCAATTCACGGCATTTTCTTAATCTGCAAATGAATGGTTAAATTAAATTTACTTCTAATTTTAATTATAGAATTACAACAATGATAGTTCTTATGATAACGTACTACAACATCTTTAACATCATCATTAAAAGAACCTCAAATTTTAAACATATTTTAATGCAAATTATTCATCTTCATATTTTATAACATTTGCGAAATACGTAGAAACTGCTCCACCTTTAGCTATCGAAACGGTACAGGTCCTCTTTCATAGAAGAGAACTGCCTGAAATGATTATTTAAATAGCAAGGAAGTTGTGTGAATTTTAAAATGTTTAAATTAAAGTTAAAAAGCTTTCTACATTAACTCAAGAGAGGTATCTAGGAATTGGTTTGCCAGATGGATCATAAATTTACAAAACGATGCCTTCGATTGCAGAAGTTTCCGGGGGGAAAAATCGCCTGAAGTAAGATATTCCTGTGCACACTCAGGGGTAAAACCCTCCTGAATTAAATAACTCGTCGGCAAAACTGGTGCGCGCAAAAAAAGGCGGCGTTTCCCTCCTCGGTGGCCGCAGCATGCGGTCGGCCGCAGCCGCGCTGAATTATTCAAATCCTTGCACGGAACTGCACTCGCCGCGCGTTGTAGAATCCATTACAAGCATGTCTGTCGCAACATAAACCTCGCGTGGTCCAAAATAAATCAAGCCGCAACAGGCGCACTCTGCTCTGGAAATCCGGCCGCGGATGCTCTGACTAAATAAGCTTAAGCGCGCAAACGGGGCCGACTTTTTAATTTTTCACTCTGCATAAAAAAAAATAAGAAGGAAAACCGGCGGTGCTTATGCTTGCAATCAACTCCCCTGTTAATTAATTTGCCTCCAACGACTTTCAAGATCTTAAACTGCCTTTAATTATTCACGCCCAATTAATTCTGAGCAGATAGGATTATTTATATAAAATTTTTCGGCTTATTGTGCAGTGAAGTTATTGTTTAAATTTAATGTGGTTAGTATTTTAGAGTTGGTGGAAAAAATCAGAAAAAATGATATTCAAAAATATAATTAAACAACTAAAAAAATATCCATCGAGGATATTCCCAACTTCAAATCAAAAATTATGAATAAAACCGTTAAAACGTTCATTCTTGCAAAAACAGGTACAAAATAAAATTATGCTTTTATAAATTTTAATTTTTTTTTCTTCTGCTTAGAACACAAATTTATAATCATTATTTTAATAATTTAGAATTATTACTAAAACTAAAACCAAAAGAAGCGAGGACAATTTTGTTCAACCCTTTTTTTTATAAACTCTTTTGGGGATAATTTCGTCGGATAATATTAATTGCGGGTTACGCTTGCAGATTTGCGTGTCGTGCTGTGACTCGATGTACTGCAACGAGGCTGTGCCGACGAACCACACGAACGCCGTGTTCTCCGCCACGGCCACCCCTCAGCCGCCGCACCAAACCAGCCCCAGCTCGGCAGCCACGGCAGTCGCGTCGTCGGTGCACAATGGCGGCGCAAGGACACTTTTCGTCGGTCATCGTTCCTTTCGCGTTCTGCTCGCCGCGTTTTCCATCTCCTTCCGAGTGGTGCTCTAATTTGATACACACTTGAAAGTCAAAATCGTGTTCAATAAAAAAACAAGAATGAAGAAGACATTTCTGGTGCTCTTTTGGGACTCGGCGCGCGTGCACAGTTTTGGAGAAAAAAACGTTTTCGCAAAACAACGCAAAAGAAATTTAATTGGTTCTCGGTGTTGCCAAAACATCGAGAGATTTCGGCCGGTATTTTTTCCTAGAAATGAAATCACTAAATTTCGTCATCATTCTACAGGTGGATATGGAACGGTGCGTGTAAAAAATATTCACATGCTCAGAGGGTTTTTTGGGAGGTAAATTTACTGATTAATTATATTTGAGTAATTTTACAAAGATTGTTGTTTTGTATTTAAGAAATTTGATCATTCCAATGATCGTGTTGATTTACAATTTTATGAAGATATATTTTATTTAATTTGCACTACGTTAATCCTTTTCAAAATTAGTTTTCACTATTGGGCCAAAATTCTGTCTTTGTTCTCAAAATTTTTGTCCAACCCTTTATCGAAAAGCAATATTGTAGAACGCAATGTTTCCAGTAAAAGTGGTTTAGCTATTGAATAATTTTGCAATTCCACGCACGTGAATATTCAAACGCACAGCCACTAACATTTTTAACGATCTGCGCACTTTTTAATTTCACATAGCAGACCTATTGTTTAGACAACGCATCAAAAAGATGAGAGAAATAAATAAAAGCACCAATCCCTCGTGTGGACAACCCTCCCATTTTCACCCCTTTAGAGAACTGACACGTCTCATCTCAATATTGTTGATATAAGCAATCGCGCCGCGGCTTATTGGTTTAATCTGTGAATAAAAAAGTAATATTATTATGAGAGAAACAAAAAATATTGAAAAGAATGTTAAAAAGTATATATTATTGTTTTTAAAAAAGCGTTATTTCAAATGTTTAACATTGAAAAGCTCCTATTGTCAATAATATACATGCTGAATTCAACGCTAAGTCTATTTTTCAAGAGAGCAAGTGCGTGTGTTGAATGAAAAGAGTCTCTGGATCTGAAGAATTTTTATTGTTTCCAAGACGGAGGCTGCGAGAGAACGAGAAAAAATGTGCAGTTGTTGACTTTGATTGAAAGTCCCGAGGGAGGAAGCAGTAAATGCTCAGCCGCCGATACATTAAAGTGCGAATCTCCTCCTTCTTTTTCTCTTCTCTCCAGCTAGCACTCAATGTAAATAAAACGAACCATTCTATATCATTATACGCTATAGGTCGTGTAATAAAAAATTTCACTGCTCATGACGCTGCTTGGAAAAAATATGACAGAAAGAGAGGTGGTGTCTCATTTTTTTGCATTGCAAAATATATCCTGGTCGGAAATCACCCGTGGCGCTAATTCATCACATCTTTTGACGGGGAACAAAAGGATTTTGGTTGAAAAGGGCAAAAATGTAAATTCCATTCATCTTATTATTTTTTGAGTAAAAAAAAATGCAACACAGGCAGACTAAAAAAGTTGATTTCGTGTAAATCAAAAATTGGATTATTTAATTCGCTATTCAATTCTTTTGGGGGAAACTCGTGCAAATTGTTTGCTAAATTTTTATCTGCTGTAAAACTTTTACTTTTACTTAGTGAATGGGCTGTTTTAGAAATTTTATTTGGGTGCAGCTCGCTGATAGTTGCAACGGATGTTCTATTCTGCATGAATAATGCAGCAACTTTCCAGTTTCGAGTCGGAGTCTGTGGCGCGCACGGCGTGTGATTATTTATTTAGTATCGTGCTTGTGTACATGTCATGTTTGCTCTAGTGTTGATTTATTATTTGCTGCTTCATGCCACAGTGGCACATATACCGTCATGAGTAATTCGTAATTCGGATAAATCTACCAGTGGCATATACAGTGTGCCTTTTTTGCTTCATTTTTATGAAAGCTTCATCATATATTATCTAATTCATGGTTACAACGCCATGGCCAATAGCTAACCGTGAGTTTATTTATAAATATTTAATTGATAAGAGTAAAAATAAATTTTTCGGTATTCAAATTTTTTCATCTTTGGCGTAACTCCAACGATTTCTATGTTTATATAAAGTAAATCAACCATAGATTATTGAACCATTAAATTATTAGGTCCATGAAATCAACGCTTAACAAATTTGTACAAATAAAATCTTTCATTTTGTATGAAAATAATTACTAATTTTTGAAAACCTGTTAGAGATATATTAATTTGTATCAATAATTTGTATCTTATACCTTCTTTAGAATTAAAAAAAATATAAATTCGTTTCTTGAACTATTGGAAATGCTACAAACATGTTTTAAAAATGGTGATTTGAATTAAAATTCGGCTTTTCCTTGATGGGTTTTTGTGAGTTTTTTATTGTTCAAGAAAAAATACAAAAGCCCATCAAGGAAAAGCCGAATTTAGATTCAATTCACAATGAATCCACCCTCAATCGTGAACTTCTACAACAAAGCTTTTAATAAATTGCTTTGCAAGTTTGAAGCCCAATTGTAGTAAATATGGGAAGTAATGACACATTTTTTTTAAGACAAATAATCGAATGGAGAAAATTTAAAAGTAATAAATCAAACATGAATAAAGGAAATCTTAAACATATGGTAATCATACACTATATTCAATTAATTGCATATATGTATGCAAAAAGGAATTTATACCAAATCACAATTTTTTATATTGAAATGTTTTCAATATTTGCAATTTTAGCTTCTTCAGCGTCTCAACTAATCCCAGCTTCAAGGACTTAACCAGTTTTAATGGTGGTCCGTCCGTCTCAACCTTATTGACCTCTGTCGCCAGCATTTTATTCCCAAGTGCAGGGCAGCGATGAATGTTGCATTATATCCAGCATCCGTTGGGATTTGTCGTTGGCCTTTGCATACTGCGTACAATGACGGTCAATAGCTCAACATCAATTTCCCGTTTAATGCGCCGTGCGTGTGCCGCCGGCCGTTGTCCTGCCCAGCTCTTTCAATATTTCATCGTCCCCATCGGAACCCCCGTTTTGTGTGCCCTTGACCCAGCCTTACTTACTTCAACAAAGGCACGTTTCGCAGCAGCGAGAAGAAGAGCCGCGTGTAATCACCTTTTGCTGGTAATAGACTCTGATATTGACATATGAGATCACCGGCGTTTTTTTTTCCAGCCAGTCACGCCGATAAATCATTGTGCGTGTCTCTCGTGCGTCGGAAAAATGGGAAATTATTTTACGGACAAAAAGCCCGAATGGACACAAATTGCGCCATTCATCATCGCCGCTCGAAATGCTCTCCTTGAGGATTGATAGGAAAAAATGCATGAAAGTCAAATGGAGGGTGCTGCTCTGCTTTTTTCTCTTCGCCACAGAGTGTTGCTATTATTTTCAAATTTTCTGTGCGTCGGAGAAAGAACCCACTTTCCAGTGGCGAGAAAAATTGTTTTAATTCCGCATCCCCTTTGGCTCAAACATTTAAAATAATTGAGAAGCACAGTCAAATTTAAGCAGCTTAGAGTTCATCATTCATTTTAAAACTGAATTTTTTCATTTTCAAAATTAAGGTCTACTTTTTTTTAAGAGTCCTATTTTGTTTATGAAAATTTCTCTTTGTAATGACAATTAAAAATTAATTGCACAGCTCAAATAATATTCATCCGGGCGCTAAAATAGAATATATTGCGGTCGTGTAATCAAATTCTCTACCTTATAGTGAAATCATACATTTTAAATATGTAATTTTTTGTTTTCAAATTTAAGGACTTCTTGTAATTTGAAAGGTCTTATTAATAATCTACCTTATCTTTTTCTTTTTAACACGAAAATAAAGGATTTTACCGCTCAATAAATGTCAAGCTAGGCGAACACATTTAAAATCATTATGGAGCACTGTAAAATTTTTACAGCTAAGAGTTAATCATCCATTTTAAAACTGAATTTTTTCATTTTCAAAATTAAGGTCTACTTTTTTTTAAGAGTCCTATTTTGTTTATGAAAATTTCTCTTTGTAATGACAATTAAAAATTAATTGCACAGCTCAAATAATATTCATCCGGGCGCTAAAATAGAATATATTGCGGTCGTGTAATCAAATTCTCTACCTTATAGTGAAATCATACATTTGAAATATGTAATTTTTTGTTTTCAAATTTAAGGACTTCTTGTAATTTGAAAGGTCTTATTTATAATCACCCTTATCTTTTTCATATTAACACGAAAATATAGGATTTTACCGCTCAATAAATGTCATGCTAGGCGCACACATTTAAAATTATTAAGAAGCACTGTAAAATTTTAACAGCTAAGAGTTAATCATCCATTTTAAAACTGAATTTTTTTATTTTCAAAATTATGGTCAACTTTTTTTTAAGAGTCCTATTTTGTTTATGAAAATTTCTCTTTGTAATGACAATTAAAAATTAATTGCACAGCTCAAATAATATTCATCCGGGCGCTAAAATAGAATATATTGCGGTCGTGTAATCAAATTCTCTACCTTATAGTGAAATCATACATTTTAAATATGTAATTTTATGTTTTCAAATTTAAGGACTTCTTGTAATTTGAAAGGTCTTATTTATAATCTACCTTATCTTTTTCATTTTAACACGAAAATATAGGATTTTACCGCTCAATAATTGTCAAGCTAGGCGCACACATTTAAAATTATTTAGAAACACTGTAAAATTTTAACAGTTAAGAGTTAATCATCCATTTTAAAACTGAATTTTTTTATTTTCAAAATTAAGGTCTACTTTTTTTTAAGAGTCCTATTTTGTTTATGAAAATTTCTCTTTGTAATGACAATTAAAAATTAATTGCACAGCTCAAATAATATTCATCCGGGCGCTAAAATAGAATATATTGCGGTCGTGTAATCAAATTCTCTACCTTATAGTGAAATCATACATTTGAAATATGTAATTTTTTGTTTTCAAATTTAAGGACTTCTTGTAATTTGAAAGGTCTTATTTATAATCACCCTTATCTTTTTCATATTAACACGAAAATATAGGATTTTACCGCTCAATAAATGTCATGCTAGGCGCACACATTTAAAATTATTAAGAAGCACTGTAAAATTTTAACAGCTAAGAGTTAATCATCCATTTTAAAACTGAATTTTTTTATTTTCAAAATTATGGTCAACTTTTTTTTAAGAGTCCTATTTTGTTTATGAAAATTTCTCTTTGTAATGACAATTAAAAATTAATTGCACAGCTCAAATAATATTCATCCGGGCGCTAAAATAGAATATATTGCGGTCGTGTAATCAAATTCTCTACCTTATAGTGAAATCATACATTTGAAATATGTAATTTTTTGTTTTCAAATTTAAGGACTTCTTGTAATTTGAAAGGTCTTATTTATAATCACCCTTATCTTTTTCATATTAACACGAAAATATAGGATTTTACCGCTCAATAAATGTCATGCTAGGCGCACACATTAAAAATTATTAAGAAGCACTGTAAAATTTTAACAGCTAAGAGTTAATCATCCATTTTAAAACTGAATTTTTTTATTTTCAAAATTATGGTCAACTTTTTTTTAAGAGTCCTATTTTGTTTATGAAAATTTCTCTTTGTAATGACAATTAAAAATTAATTGCACAGCTCAAATAATATTCATCCGGGCGCTAAAATAGAATATATTGCGGTCGTGTAATCAAATTCTCTACCTTATAGTGAAATCATACATTTGAAATATGTAATTTTTTGTTTTCAAATTTAAGGACTTCTTGTAATTTGAAAGGTCTTATTTATAATCACCCTTATCTTTTTCATATTAACACGAAAATATAGGATTTTACCGCTCAATAAATGTCATGCTAGGCGCACACATTTAAAATTATTAAGAAGCACTGTAAAATTTTAACAGCTAAGAGTTAATCATCCATTTTAAAACTGAATTTTTTTATTTTCAAAATTATGGTCAACTTTTTTTTAAGAGTCCTATTTTGTTTATGAAAATTTCTCTTTGTAATGACAATTAAAAATTAATTGCACAGCTCAAATAATATTCATCCGGGCGCTAAAATAGAATATATTGCGGTCGTGTAATCAAATTCTCTACCTTATAGTGAAATCATACATTTGAAATATGTAATTTTTTGTTTTCAAATTTAAGGACTTCTTGTAATTTGAAAGGTCTTATTTATAATCACCCTTATCTTTTTCATATTAACACGAAAATATAGGATTTTACCGCTCAATAAATGTCATGCTAGGCGCACACATTAAAAATTATTAAGAAGCACTGTAAAATTTTAACAGCTAAGAGTTAATCATCCATTTTAAAACTGAATTTTTTTATTTTCAAAATTATGGTCTACTTTTTTTTAAGAGTCCTATTTTGTTTATGAAAATTTCTCTTTGTCATGACAATTAAAAATTAATTGCACAGCTCAAATAATATTCATCCGGGCGCTAAAATAGAATATATTGCGGTCGTGTAATCGAATTCTCTACCTTATAGTGAAATCATACAATATAAATATGTAATTTTTTGTTTTCAAATTTAAGGACTTCTTGTAATTTGAAAGGTCTTATTAATAATCTACCTTATCTTTTTCTTTTTAACACGAAAATAAAGGATTTTACCGCTCAATAAATGTCAAGCTAGGCGCACACATTTAAAATTATTAAGAAGCGCTGTAAAATTTTAACAGCTAAGAGTTAATCATCCATTTTAAAACTGAATTTTTTCATTTTCAAAATTAAGGTCTACTTTTTTTTAAGAGTCCTATTTTGTTTATGAAAATTTCTCTTTGTCATGACAATTAAAAATTAATTGCACAGCTCAAATAATATTCATCCGGGCGCTAAAATAGAATATATTGCGGTCGTGTAATCAAATTCTCTACCTTATAGTGAAATCATACATTTGAAATATGTAATTTTTTGTTTTCAAATTTAAGGAATTCTTGTAATTTGAAAGGTCTTATAATTTGAAAGGTATATAACTTCTGAGGGAGTAATTCATTGTTGGTAGTAAATTTTTTTGAATTTTCGGAGATATGGCTAAAATAGAGTAAAATAAGATAATTTAGTTAACATTAACTTTTGACGCTTTTTGCAGAATTTCAATTGTATAAATCGTGATCAATACTTCTAAATTTTGTAGATTAGGGCTCGATATTGAGAAAAATATAAGTGCTGAAGGAGCTATTCACTGTGAGTAAAAAAGTTTCGTCATTTTCTGAGATATGATCATAATAAAGCAAAATAAGATGATATAGTTGACGCTAAAGTTTGACACTTTTTGCGGGGTTTCAATTGTATGAATCAAGATCAATACTACTAAATTTTGTAGATTAGGGTTTGAATATGAGAAAAATATAGTTGCTGATGGAGTAATTCATTGTGGGTAGTAAATTTTTTGAATTTTCTGAGATATGGCTAAAATGGAGTAAAATAAGATGTTTTGAGCCAACACTAAATTTGACGCTTTTTGCGGGGTTTCAATTGTATAAATCGAGATCAATACTACTAAATTTTGTAGATTAGGGTTTGAAATTATAAATAATATAAGTGCTGAGGGAGTAATTCATTGTTGGTAGTAAATTTTTTTGAATTTTCTGAGATATGGCTAAAATAGAGTAAAATAAGATGTTTTAGCCAACACTAACTTTTGACGATTTTTGCGGGGTTTCAATTGTATACATCGAGATCAATACTACTAAATTTTGTAGATTAGGGTATGAAATTGAGAAAAATATAAGTGCTGAAGGAGCTTTTCACTGTGAGTAAAAAAGTTTCGTCATTTTCTGAGATATGATCATAATAAAGCAAAATAAGATGATATAGTTGACGCTAAAGTTTGACACTTTTTGCGGGGTTTCAATTGTATAATTCAAGATCAATACTACTAAATTTTGTAGATTAGTGTTTGAATATGAGAAAAATATAATTGCTGAAGGAGTAATTCAATGTGGGTATTAAATTTTTTGAATTTTCTGAGATATGGCTAAAATGGAGTAAAATAAGATGTTTTGAGTCAACACTAAATTTGACGCTTTTTGCGGGGTTTCAATTGTATACATCGAGATCAATACTACTAAATTTTGTAGATTAGTGTTTGAAATTATAAAAAATATAAGTGCTGAGGGAGTAATTCATTGTTGGTAGTAAATTTTTTTGAATTTTCTGAGATATGGCTAAAATAGAGTAAAATAAGATGTTTTAGCCAACACTAACTTTTGACGATTTTTGCGGGGTTTCAATTGTATACATCGAGATCAATACTACTAAATTTTGTAGATTAGGGTTTGAAATTGAGAAAAATATAAGTGCTGAGGTAGTAATTCACTGTGAGTAGAATATTTTCGTTATTTTCTGAGATATGATTATAATAGAGCAAAATAAGATCATTTAGTTAACAATAACTTTTGACGCTTTTTGCAGAATTTCAGTTGTATATATCGAGATCAATACTACTAAATTTTGTAGATTAGGGTTTGAAATTGAGAAAAATATAAGTGCTGAATGAGTAATTCACTGTGAGTAGAAAACTTTCTTTATTTTCTGATATATGATTATAATAGAATAAAATAAGATGTTTTAGCCAACACTAACTTTTGACGATTTTTGCGGGGTTTCAATTGTATACATCGAGATCAATACTACTAAATTTTGTAGATTAGGGTTTGAAATTGAGAAAAATATAAGTGCTGAGGTAGTAATTCACTGTGAGTAGAATATTTTCGTTATTTTCTGAGATATGATTATAATAGAGCAAAATAAGATGATTTAGTTAACACTAATTTTTGACGCTTTTTGTGGGAATTCAATTGTATATATCGAGATCAATACTACTAAATTTTGTAGATTAGGGTTTGAAATTGAGAAAAATATAAGTGCTGAAGGAGTAATTCACTGTGAGTAGAAAATTTTCTTTATTTTCTGAGATATGATTATAATAGAATAAAATAAGATGTTTTAGCCAACACTAACTTTTGACGATTTTTGCGGGGTTTCAATTGTATACATCGAGATCAATACTACTAAATTTTGTAGATTAGGGTTTGAAATTGAGAAAAATATAAGTGCTGAGGGAGTAATTCACTGTGAGTAGAATATTTTCGTTATTTTCTGAGATATGATTATAATAGAGCAAAATAAGATATTTTAGCCAACACTAACTTTTGACGCTTTTTGCAGAATTTCAATTGAATAAATCGTGATCAATACTTCTAAATTTTGTAAATTAGGGTATTAAATTGAGAAAAATATAAGTTCTGAAGGAGTAATTCATTGTGGGTAGTAAATTTTTTGAATTTTCTGTGATATGGCTAAAATGGAGTAAAATAAGATGTTTTGAGCCAACACTAAATTTGACGCTTTTTTCGGGGTTTCAATAGTATAAATCGAGATCAATACTACTAAATTTTGTAGATTAGGGTTTGAAATTATAAATAATATAAGTGCTGAGGGAGTAATTCATTGTTGGTAGTAAATTTTTTTGAATTTTCTGAGATATGGCTAAAATAGAGTAAAATAAGATGTTTTAGCCAACACTAACTTTTGACGATTTTTGCGGGGTTTCAATTGTATACATCGAGATCAATACTACTAAATTTTGTAGATTAGGGTTTGATATTGAGAAAAATATAAGTGCTGAGGGAGTAATTCACTGTGAGTAGAATATTTTCGTTATTTTCTGAGATATGATTATAATAGAGCAAAATAAGATATTTTAGCCAACACTAACTTTTGACGCTTTTTGCAGAATTTCAGTTGTATAAATCGAGATCAATACTACTAAATTTTTTAAATTAGGGTATTAAATTGAGAAAAATATAAGTTCTGAAGGAGTAATTCATTGTGGGTAGTAAATTTTTTTGAATTTTCAGAGATATGGCTAAAATAGAGTAAAATAAGATGATTTAGTTAACATTAACTTTTGACGCTTTTTGAAGAATTTCAATTGTATAAATCGTGAACAATACTTCTAAATTTTGTAGATTAGGGCTCGATATTGAGAAAAATATAAGTGCTGAAGGAGCTATTCACTGTGAGTAAAAAAGTTTCGTCATTTTCTGAGATATGATCATAATAATGCAAAATAAGATGATATAGTTGACGCTAAAGTTTGACACTTTTTGCGGGGTTTCAATTGTATGAATCAAGATCAATACTACTAAATTTTGTAGATTAGGGTTTGAATATGAGAAAAATATAATTGCTGAAGGAGTAATTCATTGTGGGTTGTAAATTTTTTGAATTTTCTGAGATATGGCTAAAATGGAGTAAAATAAGATGTTTTGAGCCAACACTAAATATGACGCTTTTTGCGGGGTTTCAATTGTATAAGTCGAGATCAATACGACTAAATTTTTTAGATTAGGGTTTGAAATTATGAAAAATATAACTTCTGAGGGAGTAATTCATTGTTGGTAGTCAATTTTTTTGAATTTTCTGAGATATGGCTAAAATGGAGTAAAATAAGATGTTTTGAGCCAACACTAAATTTGACGCTTTTTGCGGGGTTTCAATTGTATAAATCGAGATCAATACTACTAAATTTTGTAGATTAGGGTTTGAAATTATAAATAATATAAGTGCTGAGGGAGTAATTCATTGTTGGTAGTAAATTTTTTTGAATTTTCAGAGATATGGCTAAAATAGAGTAAAATAAGATGATTTAGTTAACATTAACTTTTGACGCTTTTTGAAGAATTTCAATTGTATAAATCGTGACCAATCAGTGGGCCAGCATAAGGAGAAATTTTTTGTTTCCCGCCGCGCAGGCAACTCAAGATGGCTGCTCGGTGCGAGAGCCAATCAGAGACGGCCTCGGGGGCCTTTGTTTTGATCATCGCGAGATCAAATGGTTTCATGCTTTCTGGGTGTTTATTCCGTATTTTAATTTCAATTCAGTCCAATGAAATGTATTTTCGCGAGTTAACGTCATGCTTGGTACGGCTGGATGCAGATTCAATATGAAATTTACGTTTTTTTGCTGATGTGAAGATGAAGAACGCAACGCAAAAGTGCAATCCAAATGGAAGGAACGAATTACGCAAATACGCACACTACATAATTAATCACTTAATCAGATAAGTCAAACTCATTGCTATGGAAATATTTAACCGCTGGTCGCTGGTCCGCTGCCTGCCTTTTTGGTTTTGGAATTTCTTTCCAATTTTGGTAAAACGGGTTGTTATTTTGCAGGAAGTACCTGAGTCGAGTCCTGTTATCAGTTTTTAAGACTCTCTTGGCTGAAAATTCGCAGCAAAGTAATTTTTTAATTCTTTGGCAGGGCAGCTGGATTAGAAATCTATAATTTTTTATAAGAATATTTTTACTTTGTGTCATTATTATTTGCAGTTCAAGAAGTCAACAAGACAAGGAATCGACGTGCCCTGGTGCCCCCCGACTTTTCGATCCCGACAAGAGACCTTACTATGATGTCTTTTACATTTCATTGAGCATTTTCAAATCTGTTGCAAATGACCGGATTTAAAGGTATATTTTCATTGCAATTACTTATTATAGTCAACAAATTTTAACAATATCTGAATTCTTACAGTAAAAAAATTGATTGCCAAATAATTACGAAACAAAACGGGAAGCCAGATACATAGGCTGCAGGCCACAAATTACGACTAGATTTCTGATTTTAAGTCTCTTTCAAGACTCAAAAAGGTAAATTTAAATTATAAATCTTTAAGATTTGAAATCTTACAACATAATTTTTCATTTCAGAATCCTCAATTGCCAACTGCCAACCCATCCCAAGGCACTAACCGGATTTTTGAAACCCAAAGAGGCAATGGCAGCCTTAAGCCTTTAATTTCACGGAACTAATCTGGTGCAATTCGTCATGGACTTATTGAAAATATTTTGGCCTATTTCACTGTATTTTTTGTGTATTGAAATAAAGTTTTTGGGGTGTTACATTCAAAATACAGATAATTTTTTTAATTTCAGAAGTCTCGAAGTGAATTTGTCTTCGTCTCCAGATCTTTTTTTCCTAAGGGTAATGGGATTTTCAGAGTTAATCATTAATTGACATGAATATTTCAGTTTTAAAGGACTTAGAATGTTAGAATTGAAACTATAAATAAATGAAAGTGATCTAACAAAAATTTTATACAGCTGTTATGCTGCAAAAATTTAAAAACAAAATTAGGCAAGATTTCACATTTCCTAATAATTGAACTCCAATTTTTTTTAAATAAAAAAACAGGGTATAGTATAGTTCCCACGCACTCAATTAAAATTTCATAACAAGGATCAAGGTGTTCATTAAAATTTTTGAAGATAAAGCAAGTTGAAAAACTGATTTTTCCTTAAAATTGCCTACAATTATGTTCATTGCCTAATGCCTAACAAGTAATTCAAATTATTTGCAGATTAACTTAATTAATATGTAACATAATTTTACAGAGACGCTGAATTTTTGCTCAAACTAACAGGCAAACATAAATCTTAATTGGACGAAAGACAAAAGCTTACTTGGCCGTGTTGCTCGAGTCTCGAGACAGATCGAGTGACCGAAATCTCTCTGTATATTTGGTCTAGCGTGTCTAACAGAGGGGAATAGACATTCAATTAAAAGCAATAAAATTTACTCCTACTTTGCTTCATGATCACACTTAATAAAAAAATTAATTTTTGCCATGTTTTGATATGGGTTTGTTGGTGCACTTTTTTCAAACAACAGCTGTGAGCTGTGACGCATGTGCCACCTAAACGCAGCATTGTGAAGTATAAAAAAAAAAACAACAACACCTGGGAAGCATGATTATCCAAACAAAAGTCATTGTTTTGATCAGATTAAAGGTAGGATTAATTGTTATTACGGGTTATTACTGCCGCTATGGAATAGCACGTGCATTCACCCAACTCAAATTTTTCGCGCCTCTCAGGGAGCGGCCATATTGTGCGCAGCTTGCTTTTATGCCGGCCCACTGTGACCAATACTTCTAAATTTTGTAGATTAGGGCTCGATATTGAGAAAAATATAAGTGCTGAAGGAGCTATTCACTGTGAGTAAAAAAGTTTCGTCATTTTCTGAGATATGATCATAATAATGCAAAATAAGATGATATAGTTGACGCTAAAGTTTGACACTTTTTGCGGGGTTTCAATTGTATGAATCAAGATCAATACTACTAAATTTTGTAGATTAGGGTTTGAATATGAGAAAAATATAATTGCTGAAGGAGTAATTCATTGTGGGTTGTAAATTTTTTGAATTTTCTGAGATATGGCTAAAATGGAGTAAAATAAGATGTTTTGAGCCAACACTAAATATGACGCTTTTTGCGGGGTTTCAATTGTATAAGTCGAGATCAATACGACTAAATTTTTTAGATTAGGGTTTGAAATTATGAAAAATATAACTTCTGAGGGAGTAATTCATTGTTGGTAGTCAATTTTTTTGAATTTTCTGAGATATGGCTAAAAAAGAGTAAAATAAGATGTTTTAGCCAACACTAACTTTTGACGATTTTTGCGGGGTTTCAATTGTATACATCGAGATCAATACTACTAAATTTTGTAGATTAGGGTTTGAAATTGAGAAAAATATAAGTGCTGAGGGAGTAATTCACTGTGAGTAGAAAATTTTCTTTATTTTCTGAGATATGATTATAATAGAATAAAATAAGATGTTTTAGCCAACACTAACTTTTGACGCTTTTTGCAGAATTTCAGTTGTATAGATCGTGATCAATACTTCTAAATTTTGTAGATTAGGGCTCGATATTGAGAAAAATATAAGTGCTGAAGGAGCTATTCACTGTGAGTAAGAATGTTTCGTCATTTTCTGAGATATGATCATAATAAAGCAAAATAAGATGATATAGTTGACGCTAAAGTTTGACACTTTTTGCGGGGTTTCAATTGTATAAATCAAGATCAATACTACTAAATTTTGTAGATTAGGGTTTGAATATGAGAAAAATATAATTGCTGAAGGAGTAATTCATTGTGGGTAGTAAATTTTTTGAATTTTCTGAGATATGGCTAAAATGGAGTAAAATAAGATGTTTTGAGCCAACTCTAAATTTGACGCTTTTTGCGGGGTTTCAATTGTATAAATCGAGATCAATACTACTAAATTTTGTAGATTAGGGTTTGAAATTATAAATAATATAAGTGCTGAGGGAGTAATTCATTGTTGGTAGTAAATTTTTTTGAATTTTCTGAGATATGGCTAAAATAGAGTAAAATAAGATGTTTTAGCCAACTCTAACCTTTGACGATTTTTGCGGGGTTTCAATTGTATACATCGAGATCAACACTTTTAAATTTTGTAGATTAGGGTTTGAAATTGAGAAAAATATAAGTGCTGAGGGAGTAATTCACTGTGAGTAGAAAATTTTCTTTATTTTCTGAGATATGATTATAATAGAATAAAATAAGATGTTTTAGCCAACACTAACTTTTGACGCTTTTTGCAGAATTTCAGTTGTATAAATCGAGATCAATGCTACTAAATTTTGTAGATTAGGGTTTGAAATTATGAAAAATATAACTTCTGAGGGAGTAATTCATTGTTGGAAGTAAATTTTTTTGAATTTTCAGAGATATGGCTAAAATAGAGTAAAATAAGATGATTTAGTTAACATTAACTTTTGACGCTTTTTGCAGAATTTCAATTGTATAAATCGTGATCAATACTTCTAAATTTTGTAGATTAGGGCTCGATATTGAGAAATATATAAGTGCTGAAGGAGCTATTCACTGTGAGTAAAAAAGTTTCGTCATTTTCTGAGATATGATCATAATAAAGCAAAATAAGATGATATAGTTGACGCTAAAGTTTGACACTTTTTGCGGGGTTTAAATTTATGAATCAAGATCAATACTACTAAATTTTGTAGATTAGGGTTTGAATATGAGAAAAATATAATTGCTGAAGGAGTAATTCATTGTGGGTAGTAAATTTTTTGAATTTTCTGAGATATGGCTAAAATGGAGTAAAATAAGATGTTTTGAGCCAACACTAAATTTGACGCTTTTTGCGGGGTTTCAATTGTATAAATCGAGATCAATACGACTAAATTTTGTAGATTAGGGTTTGAAATTATGAAAAATATAACTTCTGAGGGAGTAATTCATTGTTGGTAGTAAATTTTTTTGAATTTTCAGAGATATGGCTAAAATAGAGTAAAATAAGATGATTTAGTTAACATTAACTTTTGACGCTTTTTGCAGAATTTCAATTGTATAAATCGTGATCAATACTTCTAAATTTTGTAGATTAGGGCTCGATATTGAGAAATATATAAGTGCTGAAGGAGCTATTCACTGTGAGTAAAAAAGTTTCGTCATTTTCTGAGATATGATCATAATAAAGCAAAATAAGATGATATAGTTGACGCTAAAGTTTGACACTTTTTGCGGGGTTTCAATTGTATGAATCAAGATCAATACTACTAAATTTTGTAGATTAGGGTTTGAATATGAGAAAAATATAATTGCTAAAGGAGTAATTCATTGTGGGTAGTAAATTTTTTGTATTTTCTGAGATATGGCTAAAATAGAGTAAAATAAGATGTTTTGAGCCAACACTAAATTTGACGCTTTTTGCGGGGTTTCAATTGTATAAATCGAGATCAATACGACTTAATTTTGTAGATTAGGGTTTGAAATTATGAAAAATATAACTTCTGAGGGAGTAATTCATTGTTGGTAGTAAATTTTTTTGAATTTTCAGAGATATGGCTAAAATAGAGTAAAATAAGATGATTTAGTTAACATTAACTTTTGACGCTTTTTGCAGAATTTCAATTGTATAAATCGTGATCAATACTTCTAAATTTTGTAGATTAGGGCTCGATATTGAGAAATATATAAGTGCTGAAGGAGCTATTCACTGTGAGTAAAAAAGTTTCGTCATTTTCTGAGATATGATCATAATAATGCAAAATAAGATGATATAGTTGACGCTAAAGTTTGACACTTTTTGCGGGGTTTCAATTGTATGAATCAAGATCAATACTACTAAATTTTGTAGATTAGGGTTTGAATATGAGAAAAATATAATTGCTGAAGGAGTAATTCATTGTGGGTTGTAAATTTTTTGAATTTTCTGAGATATGGCTAAAATGGAGTAAAATAAGATGTTTTGAGCCAACACTAAATATGACGCTTTTTGCGGGGTTTCAATTGTATAAGTCGAGATCAATACGACTAAATTTTTTAGATTAGGGTTTGAAATTATGAAAAATATAACTTCTGAGGGAGTAATTCATTGTTGGTAGTCAATTTTTTTGAATTTTCTGAGATATGGCTAAAATAGAGTAAAATAAGATGTTTTAGCCAACACTAACTTTTGACGATTTTTGCGGGGTTTCAATTGTATACATCGAGATCAATACTACTAAATTTTGTAGATTAGGGTTTGAAATTGAGAAAAATATAAGTGCTGAATGAGTAATTCACTGTGAGTAGAAAACTTTCTTTATTTTCTGATATATGATTATAATAGAATAAAATAAGATGTTTTAGCCAACACTAACTTTTGACGATTTTTGCGGGGTTTCAATTGTATACATCGAGATCAATACTACTAAATTTTGTAGATTAGGGTTTGAAATTGAGAAAAATATAAGTGCTGAGGTAGTAATTCACTGTGAGTAGAATATTTTCGTTATTTTCTGAGATATGATTATAATAGAGCAAAATAAGATGATTTAGTTAACACTAATTTTTGACGCTTTTTGTGGGAATTCAATTGTATATATCGAGATATATACTACTAAATTTTGTAGATTAGGGTTTGAAATTGAGAAAAATATAAGTGCTGAAGGAGTAATTCACTGTGAGTAGAAAATTTTCTTTATTTTCTGAGATATGATTATAATAGAATAAAATAAGATGTTTTAGCCAA